CTGAGAAGCAGAAAGCTTCCGTGACCATCCTAAGTTGCCCAGTGGAGCAGTAACGGGGCTCCTCCCAAGACAGGGCCTTGCCTCGTCAGGTGCTTTTCCCAGCGTGCCTGTCACCTTTGGAAGCAGCACTGAAGTACCGTCACTGCTCTTTTGTAATCATTTGCTGCCCCGCACATCATCTGAGATTTCCTGCTTTAAGCTTGATTGCGCATTAGGATGATTTGTGACATACATCATCTGCTTTTTTAATAGTATTCATTTTTATCAGCTAATTTAACATCACTTGCTCACCATTTAGGTACAGAGATGTTTGCTTTTAGAATCTAGGCTTGTCTTCCAGGTAACCTTTCAGATCTCAGAGATAAATAGCAAATGGGACATTGAAAACTGAAAACCTCCAGGTTCACATATGGTATTTTTAACACATCAATAGATGATGTTTATATCTAATACTTTTTGAATTGTCATCTAATTCTAATCAATAGATGATATGCAAATGCTGTAATATAAATAGTTTCTCATTACGACGTCTCAGACATGTTAATATTTGATTTGCTCATTTATTAGATGAACATTTGTTGAATGCCAACCACTTTGCTGGTCACTAAGTATAAATACAGAAAAAAACAAGGCAAAAGTCCATGCTATCATCAAGCTTATATTTAATGGGAATGTCAGATGATGAGTAAGCAAATAAGATAATTAATATGTGATTAGTAAAGGGACAGAAATAGACTATAATAATCAATAAATGAAAATGGCAGTTTTTTTGCATGGTGTTGTTAGGAAAGACCTCTCTGAAGAAGAGACATTTATGCAGTTCTTATAGATAAGAATGAGCCAGGCATAAAAGGGTTAGAGAAAAGAGTTGCAGATAACAGCAAAATATCTGAGATGAGAAAGTACCACTGCTGTCGCTGTGTTCACTGAGAATGTAAACATCATGCTGTCTACTGCTTAGAGGAACACTATCACTATGAATAAATTTAAGCAGTTACTCACCCTAGGTTGGATATGTATAGGAGACAATGAGAATAAGATGAGGTCTTTTTCTTTACTTTTAGAGAGAAAATTATGGGATACAAGAAAGTAGCACAAACATTAAAAATTTGTTTCTTGCCTTCCGTGATCGGACACCTCATTGTGTTACAGCCACTAAAGAGTGGAATTCACAGAAGGCAAAGATTTTGACCTTGACTTTGCTCTTTATGTGGACCTGGAAGAATGGGTGCTTTTGGATTGGTCAAAAGGAATTAGAAGAGGATGATTCAAAGTGAGCAAACTATGTAATACAATTGCTGAGTACTGAATTTGAGTGAACACTCAAAAACACCGAGACTCAAAAGTTGGAACCTGGCAATCTTTGAAAATACTAGATAGGTCAGACTCATAGAAGTTGGTGAAATGTCAACAGTGCAGTTTTAGACCACATAGGGGGGCTCATTATAGTTCTTGAACAAGAAAATTGTGTGGTAGAAAACAAAATGGAAATATAGATTAAGGAAAACGAGGAAAAATTATAGGAGGCAAGATAAGACCTTCTTTTGAAAAAAAATGTGTTTTCTTGCGCCTGGCAGGGAGAGTATATCCTGTCTTTATATTAGAGATGACTAGAATACAGACAGTTCATTGGAATTAAGAGTAAAACTTAGTAAATACAACAAATGGAAAGTCAGCATACTTGCTGCTTCAAGCACACAGGGCTAACCAATATCAGTGACAAAACAAAGAAAGTTTGCCCAGGATATGAAATGATTGATTCCATATTGAACATGTTGAGCTTCAGAAGAAAACAAGGAATTCTAGCTGTGATGTGATTATATATGTACTAAACTAGAAACTGGAAAACAGAATAAAGGGATTCAAAAAGTACTGAGAACTGAAGGCTTAACTCTTAAGGGTGAACGCCCATAATCAAGAACATGTGTGTTTGTAGGCAAGGGAGGTGGATGAGGAATAACCTAGGCATAGAAGAGGATAGAAAGGACGTGTGTAAGCCTGAATAGGTAGAAGGCACCAAAACAGCAGTTGTATAAAATCCAATACCAGAAAAGAATTTCAGGGGCTGGCACTCTCACACAGCAGGTGAAGCCCCCCTCTTGAAATGACAGTTGTTTGAGTTCTGACTCTGCTTCCAATCCAGCACACACTAATGTGTCTGAGAAACTGAACTCCCTCCTGTGTGCAAGTCCCTGGCTCCAACCTGGCCCCTCCCTGCTGTTATAACCATTTAGGAAGTAACCAACACGTGAAAGATCTCTGTCTTTCCCTCTGTTTGTGTCTGTATTTCAAATTAATAGATAAGCCCTTTAAAAAGGAGGATGGGGTGGGGGGGTGTTGTGGTATAGCAGGGGAAAGCTACCATCTGCAATGCAGGCATCCCATGTGGGCACCAACTCAAATCCTGGTTACCCTTATTCTCAATCCAGATCCCTGTTAATGTCTGGGAAAGCAGCAGAAGATGGCCCAAGTGCTTGGACCGCTTCTACCTGCAGGGGAGCCCTGCTCCTGCTCCTTGCTTCAGAGTAGCCCAGCTCCAGTCAGTGTGGCCATTTGGGCAGTCAACAAACAGATGGAGTCTCTCTCTCTCTCTCTCTTTTTCTCTGTGTGTAACTCTTTCAAATAAAGAAACCATTATTTAAGAAAAAGAGTTTCAATTAGTGAAAAGGAGTAGTTGTTGGGGAAATAACTTTGTTAATTGCCAGCATAAAAATTACAACTACCCTTTTAGGGAGACTGCTGTGCTTCCTAAGGTCTTTAAATGGGTTAGTTTTAGTATTGCTTTTCAGAACCTTTTAAAAACAAGTGCTATTGTTGTCTCCATTTGTAGATAAGGAAGCGTAGAGCAAAGAGATTGAGAATTTTGCCCAGGATAATCCAGTTTGAAAAAGTTGAGCTGAGATTCAGACACAAGCATTGTGCCTTCAGAGCCTGAGTCCTTAACTCCCATGCCATATGGTTAGATCCAAGATGGTGTTTTAATTACATAGTTTTACTGCTGTCTTATGTGAGTCTCTTGAAAAGGAGTTAATTAACAGTTTAAAAAGTTGGGAGGAAACCAGAAAGTCAACAGATGGTTGGGTAGTGATTGGCTAGAACCTTACAAGAAAAGGCAATCTAGAATTATCCAAGGTGGGGTGGAGAAAAAGGGGGAATATCCCCTCTGATCTGTTTTGTCTTTCTCTCCCGACTTTAAAAATGCTTTTTTATACTACAGATGTGTGTATCCTTATTTGCATACAAGGAATGTCAGTTTCCCTAAATTAGTTGTCAACCCAGTTGTTACTGAATGAGAATTAGATTCTAAAAGAGTAGGATTTGAAAATAACCTCAGTATTGGTGTTCCAAAAAAACATTTTAGTCTGCTAGCCCAGGCTAAATACCTGTAAGTCTCTGTTCAGAGGTTCAGGTCTAAAATCAGGGATTTGGGGCGGGACCCTTGCCTCCAGAGCAAATGTAAACCTTGTCCATAAGTCATTGCTTCCCTCCTGGCTGAGAAAGGCCTTCGCCTTTACCATTCTCCATACTCTTTGGGCCTCCTCCAGCCCTTCTCACTCCTTACTTACTTGTGGAGAAAGAAGGAAATAGTAAAATCCCAGCTGACCATGCTAAGGAAATGGGTAAGAATCCTGCCACAGCTGTTGCAGACAATTCTGTAGCAGTCTTCTTTCAAAGAGTATAAGTTAGTGCTTTCCTTTGGGCCTGAAACTATGAATAAATGCCATTTTATTAATTATCCTAAATTATAGTTCTACATTGGATGCCCACGTATTAACAGAATAAAATTCTTAGCCTTCATTGGTGACTCTTTAGGACTTTTAGCCCATCCTGTAGATACTCAACAGTATTTATCTGTCCTCCCCCCACACACACCCTTTTTGTGTTAGTGTTAAGCAAACTCCCCCATACCTGTTCACTCTGCAGGGCCCCAGTTGTCTCCGTCTGTGCTTAACTCATCCCTCAGAGGTGCTCTCCGCTCTTCTCACTTCCCACACCAGTGTTGTTAGCTGTAATAGATTCCTCATCTGCTTTGACCTGTGTACAGCTTTACTAAATCCATCCAAATAATTATAAGGTTTCATGTATCTGTCTTTGCTGCTTAAATCTAGGCAGACTCTTTACCTAATTTAACTTTGTATTATCCACAAGACCTATAATTAATATCAGAGAGAGTTACAGCTGCAGGGCACAGGGGAATGTAGAGATTATATGTGATGATATGTTTTCTAAAACATCTTCTTTCACCACTCGCCAGTAAATAGCAGGGCTGATGAAGGGGTAGGACCAGGTTCCAGTCAAAGCCTAGGACTGGTCTCCAATAGCAGAGTTTCTGAGCTTGTACCTCTCTTGATGTCAGCTGTGATGCCTTGATCCAGGAGACCCAAACCATAGAAGTTAGAATCTCAATCATGAGCCCCACACACTGCTAGCATTAACACCTCCCCATATGAATCTAACCTGAAACCAAGATTGAGAATAAACACCCCAGGGCCCGGCGTGATGACGCAGTGATTAAGGTCCTCACCTTGCACGCCCGGGATCCCATATGGGCACCGGTTCTAGTCCCCACAGCCCCACTTCCTATCCCAGCTCCCTGCTTGTGGCCCGGGAAGGCAGTCGAGGACAGCCCAAAGCTTTGGGACCCTGCACCCGCGTGGGAGACCCGGAAGAGGCTCCTGGCTTGGGATCGGCATAGCATCGGCCATTGCGCTCACTTGGGGAATGAATCATCGGATGGAAGATCTTCCTCTCTGTCTCTCCTCTCTGTATATCCGCCTTTCCAATAAAAATAAAATAGATCTTTTAAAAAAAAGAGAGAATAAATACCCCAGAAAACCAAGGCCTTTGGATAATTGCAACTTTGCCAGGTAATTCTATTACTTTGAAAAACTTTTTTTTTAGATAAAGTTTTTAAATTTAAAAAAATGCTAAATGTAATATAACAACATAGTACATTTTGTTTTGCTTGCTACAGTAACTTATTTGCCTTAACTTTTCAGATATTTCGAAAGAAAGCAGTGGAACTTGGGATAAAATTGCTCCCTGCATTTCAAACTCCCTCAGGAATACCTTGGGCGTTGCTGAACATAAAAAGGTAAAATTCCTCATTTTCAACAACATATTGTAAAGTAAAGCATTCAAGATTGTAGTCTAACATATAGACACTAAATGAAAATTGCTTGTTCTCTGTAGGTGACTGAATCCGTTGAGATTCTTGGGATCTGTAGTTGTTTAATTTCAGTGTTCCATAGCCTCAGATTAGTCCCTAGCATGGGAGAGCATGACCCCACCAGAGCCCTGCAGGCAAATGTGTTTGGAGATTTTCATTATTCCATAGTGTCATCAGTGATATTATCTCATTCTATAAGTAGAGAGCATTCTGTTATCTTTTAATTCATCAAACACTTTGATGATAGCTTGAAAGATAGTGGGATATTCTTGGTATTTATGAAAAGAAAGTATTTCACTTCCAGGGAAGCAAGTTCTTAAGAGCATTTTATTTTATTAGTCTGCTGGTCAGAGACATTGCAGAGATAACACACTTGAACCACTCAAACTGCTATATAAGAAATGGGCCTAATGAACCTGGAAGGAGGAAAAGTCCTTGATTAGTCTAACCTGCCTGTCCCTGCTACATGGAGAGCCCTGGGATACCAAGTACAGAGAAATAAGGCTCCCACAAAAATCCTGGGCTGACCCAACTTCTGCTGTTCTCCCAGGGAGTAACTTGGATTTTTGTGGGAGTTTATTCATTTCACATTTCATTAATAAACAGTATTGTCTCAAATCTCCCGCTGTACTTCATCTTACCCTAAGTTAATAATTGTATTTGTCTCTTTGCAATGATGATTATAATTGTGATTATGATAACCATTATTGTCATCACAAATGCGGTAAGCTGTTTGCTTGTGTTGCCATATATATAATCATCACAACAATTCAGTAAGGCCAATAACGTTATCTCTGTTTCACTCATTGAGAACTCAAGTCATAGAAAGATTAGTTCACCTAACATTATACAATAACCAAGAGTAGAACTAGAATATGTACTCAGATGTTTATGTACACTTTACACACATACACAAATGAAATGGCTTTCTTATTTTGGAAATGCGAAGAATGTGTTCAGAGTGGTTTGATATAAGTAAGGTAGATTTCTTATTATTCATACAAATTTTGTCCTACAATTAGTCATGAATAATTATGGAAATAATAACTGAACAGTGAATACATTCATAAAATACCATACTTTGTTTTCATTTGTGTTGTGCATCTGTACTTGAAAGCATCCTGACACTGGGCATAGCAGTGGGTTTGAGAACATTTGTTGGGGAACATGACAGTGGTAGTGAGGCGGTGAGATGGGGAGAGGCCACACTACTCGTCCAATGTCACGTGTAGCTGTTCTTTGTTGTACAATGTGATGTGTAAGGAGCTGCCTTTTCCTTTTAACAACCCTGGTACTTTCTCTGTGAGCTTAGAGATTACAATACTTAAAGACAGGGAAGGGTCTCAGTTTGATCTAAAGGCAGCTTGGAATTTCTTCTGAATCCCAAGATGCTGATATTATTTTATGAGTTCTGACCTCTCCTGAAATAAGTACATCAAATTGGGTATGAAGTATATTAACCTTTACTTGGTGTTAATTTCAAATGGCAAAGTAGAGTTTTCCTTAGTTACAGCTACCCTTATCATAACATGCAGGTATTTTTCAGTACAGCAAAGAGTGCCTAACCATTACATAGTGAATTTCTGTACCTGTCCAGAATGAGCAGACATTGAGATTTTGTATAATACCTCATTTTGTACAGTATTTCACATTACAACTTTTGAATTCCAAAGATTATAGGAAAACTATATTTAGTAAAAAATAATAATAACATGTCATCTCACGTTACGTATTCTCTGATGTTTTCAGTTTAAACTTGGTGAAATTAGGTAGATATTTTGAAGTAGATGGAAGCACTATTAGTTTCTTCCTGACAACTTGCATAATTTTTGTAGCTTATTCACTCATTTAAAAAAAATATTCATTTCATTTATTTGAAAGGCAAATTTAGAGATGGAGAGACAAAGAGGTCTTCCATGCACTGGTTCATTCCCCCAAATGGCCACAACAGCTAGGGCTGGGCCAGGATTCAGGATGTTAATCCAGCCCCCCACACGGGTGCAGGGACTCTAGCACTTGGGTCATCCTCCACTGCTTTCCCAGATGCATTGGCAGGGAGCTGGGTTGGAGGTGGCATAGACAGGTCTTGATCCAGAACTGTCTAGAGCTTTACTCCACACCACTGTGCTAGCTCCTGAAAAGTTATCCTGGCCCCTATAAATTATCCCTTTTTTTTTAAGTTATCAGCTCTTAATCCCACTGACTAAATAGCATTGAAACTGTCTAAATTAAAATAATAAGCATTGACAATAATATTGTCAAGCATTGCTAATAATATCAGTTCACCAAAATGCTTTCTGTCCTTCACCCAGTCAAATGTGTTCACTGAATCCACTCTCCTTCCTAATCTAGCTGATTTGCCATCTTAATATTTTTTTTTCTGTAGGGGAATAAAACATTTCATGGTTTTCTATGATATTGTTTTCTATGATATTATTGCTATTAGTGTTATCTACACATAACCACTGTTTCCTCTGAATCTCTGTGTGCTCACAGAATGAGCCAAGGTGAAGGGGACAGCTAAAGCTTTTCTCCTGGTTTTTGAAGACTGTTACCAGGAAACCTTTCAAAGAAGAGGGGAAAAAAATATGTCTGATAACATTGTGTTTTCTTACTTACCTTCTCAGAATAGGGGAGTGTTTGTGGGTGGAAGCCTGAGCATAGCTGGTATTCTCTGGCTGGTTCTGAAACTGTTGGCTAGAGTGTGAGAGGCACTACACATGATGGCTGCAGGATCCTCATTCCAGTTTACCCTCTCAGTTTTGAGAATAAGTATAGATGCCACTCTGCCCACATCTGTATGAACTCACTGGCATTATCTGTTCACATTTCTCTAGTATTCAGGTTATTGCCTAAAGATAGTTGATTTCTTCACCTTTTCCTTGTCAAGTATAATCGTTTGTTTGAGTGCCTGCTGTGATGAAAGCTCCAACTAAGTCCTGGAAACATTTGCTACTTCACTTTATTCAAGAAGATAACAGACTTATTTTCCACTTGGGGAATTCACAGCCTGGTCGGTAAAACACAGTGCATATTTTATATTTTACATTATATACTCACACATATAGTTGGCGATTAAAAGATGGTCAGTGCCAAGGAGAGATAAGAAGTAGTATTTAGAATTGAGAAGATTTACGTATTTGGAGCCAAAACACCAACAAACCAAACTGGATTGCAGTATTTTTGCAAGCCAAAAATGTGTAGAGAACCTAAATAATTATCCAGATTTTACATTAAGAATTCTACCTCAGAATCTGTTCAGAGGAAAAAGCATTTTCAGATTGCCTGTCTGCCATATCTATAATAAACTCATGTTTTTAAAGATCTGTTTGTTTATTTGAAAGGCAAAGACAGGGAGAGATATCTTTTATCTTCAGATCTACTCCCGAGATGCCTGTTACGAATTCACAGGATCAGGGTAGACTAAAGCCAGCAAGCCAGGGTCTCCATCTGGATCACTAAGGCCCCAGTTTCCTGGGCCATCATCTGTTGCTCCCAAGGATTTTAGCAGGGAACTGGGATTAGAAGCAGAGGAAGGACTTAATTCCTGGCACTCCTGTATGTGATCCACCAAGAGGCAGCTTCACATGCTGAGCCACAGTACCTGCCCCATAGTAAACTCTTAATTCAAGTGGTGATATATTTAGTTGTAGATTAAATTGTGTAAGTGAAATTGTGATTTAGTGACCAAGGAGTCCTAAACAGTAACGAGTAGATGATCATCCTTGTTCTGCCAGTATGATCTTAGATAAATATATGTAGGTCATGTATCTGCTTTGCCAAAGAAAGACATTGCCTTTCTAATAGGTAGGACTCAATTTCCCTAATTTGAAAATGTCAAATTTGATGTCTGATTTTGTCACTGTTAGCAAGAGGTCCTATCCCTTTTCTTCTTCAGTTCAATGCAGAAGAATCATTTCTGTGGTTTAAAATTTAAAAATCAAGCTTTTCACCATGTTCATATTTCAAGAGGTAATTCAAGTCTATGTGGAGTAGATTTCTTAGATTTGAGGTTTTCTAAAATGCGTTCTTAATTCAAAATAAAGTAGTTAATGTCCCCATTACTCATTTCTATCACGGGACACTGCAGTCTGTAATTATTCTGTCTTTCTTGATAAATGAGTTGGTTTTAGCAGTATACTCTTTATCACTTTTTTTGTGGACTTTGCTGCAGTGACATTTGCCCAGTGGTGGCATGAACTAGTAGAACGGTGTGCAGTGTGTGCGCGTCCTGAACATCCTCTGCGGTGTGCTTGGAAATGGCTCGTCTCTGCTCAGATTCTCAGGAGTCTGTCGGGACATGGCTAAGACACAGCTCCTTCTCCTGCTTTTATTTCCTTTTTTTGTGAAGCTTTCCTTACTGACTGCACCAGTTATCTGGAAATATATACAATGCCATTAGTTACATTGGCATTTACAGTTAGATTGCAGATTTAAAAAATTTTTTCATGATATGATTTTATTGACACAGAGGTTTTCCTTCTCCCCATCCTCCTACAATGCTTTCCCCAATATTATTACAACAGTACAGTCCTTCAGTAACAGTGTTTAGTGGCATTGTTGATATAGACAATATTTTTTCTTTAACTAAAATTTGGCCTAATTAAGAGTTGTGTGTAACTGGATGAGTTCTAGTAGTGAAAGCCTGTTTTGTGTGAGATGTGTGACATGCATATTTTAACAAAAGGTGATAGTTTTATTATTGTTTCTTAATACTTGAATGGTATAAAGTGCTTAAGTATTAAGTTATAGTTGGTTAGCTTTTTTAAAAAATCCATACATTATTTTTCATTTTTCATTCTTTATGTTTCATTTAGCAGTTTTGAACAGCTAGTTTTAGCAGTCATATACTGTAAAGACAGTCTAGAATAAATCTTTTTTAAAATGTTCCCATGTATCTTTAAGCTTTTACCTGATTGCTGAAC